CAACCAATACCTGGTCAAAAAGCGGAAGAAACTTTCTAAATGCTTGTCCTGCCATGACTCCCGCCGCCACAGCAAGTACTCTGCTCTCGTGCACCGCTGCAAGGAGACTGAGATTGTTCTTGATAATGTGGGCAGACCTCAATCAGTTAGCTGAAGGCCTTAAGAACAAAACCTGTTTCCCAGAGAAGGAATTCTGCTTCAGGACTCCAGCCGTTTCCAACCTGCCTGCTTGCCTTGCGGATTTCAGAATCAAGACTGCAACATTGACTCCTCCCTAAGTTTCCAGCCTGCTGATCTGCCTTATAAACTTCAAACTTACTAGCTGTATTAGTCAGAGTTCTCCAGAGAAACAGAACCAACATGACAGATATAATTAGATTAAAAGATTTATCATGAGGCACTGGTTTATGTTATTATGGAGGTTGAGAGTTCCCACAATCTGCACCAGCAAGCTGGAGGGCCAGGCAAGCCAAGGGTGTGGTTCCAGTCCAAACTCAAAAGTCCTGAGACCAGGGGAGTAAATGGTGTTAAGTCCCAGTTTGAGTCCAAAGGCCTGATGACTAGAAGTATTGATGTCAGAGGGCAAGCAACGATGGAGATTTCAGCTCAAGCAGATAGCCAATTTGCTCTTTCTGTGCCTTTTGGTTCTGTTCTAGTTCTCAACAATTGGGATGATGCCCTCCTGCATCAGTGAGAGTGATCTTCAATCAGTCTGATTCAAATACTAATCTCTTCCAGAAACACTCTCTCAAAGACACACCCAGAAATGTTTTACCACCTATCTAGGCATCCCTTAGTCCAGGCAAATTAACACATAAAATTAATCACCAGCCCTAACTCACGAGCCAATTCCTTAAATCAACTATTCTCTCTCTCTCACTTGTTCTCCATACACTCACACATGTACATAGACATATCCTGTTGGTTGTTTCTCTGGTGAACCCTCACTGGTACAACATATTAAGTTCGAAAAAAGTAGCCTGGCAGAAAAGCCAGAAAGTATGCTTATTTTGGGGCTAACCCATTCCAGATGATGAGCCAGCTGTGCCTAGTATACTGGTAAACTCAAATATGAAACTTTAAGATGTACAATGGGGAGAAATAAACCATTCTGTTAGGTTACAGAAACAAACTTGCTTCAGGCTTCTCTTTTGAAATATTTTTACTGAATGAAGTCAACATAGAATGAAAATGCAACCAGGTTGATAGGAGATAAACATAGACACTAGAGAGTGACGTTTGAAGGCATGGTGTCCATGTTGAGATGGCAGGAGGAAAGTGATCACACCAGGCTGAAGCTGTGAGGACATCAGGAACCACATATTCTGGGTCTGTGGCTGGGATAGTGCACCAGATATTCTCACCCCCACACTGCTAACCCACTGCAAACTGCTAAGAGCAGGAGAGCCCCTTCCACTTGCAATGTAGCCGTAGAACTCTCTATAGAGAAAGTTCAACATGTGTCTACAGCAATGGAGAAATGACTAAAAGGAATCCTGTTATCTCTGAGCACGTATTGAAGGTGAACTTGAGGCTGAGGGGCAACAGATAACTGGCACAGTTCACCTGCTTGGTTGTTTAGCTTCCAGATGTGCCCCTTGACACACATCTGAACTCCCTTGCAGCTGCAAAGCAACTCTGTATTTTTACCTAAAAAGATACACCAATCCTTCTTATAAGTAAAGTTCTCACTCTCACTGAAAGCCAGATGACCCATATTCTCAAGTCATTGGATCCTTCACGGGATCTATTGATTATTCCTCAAATTAAGTCAGGCCCCCATTGATTATTTTATTACCTAAAAATAAGGAAAACTAACCTACAATAAATTTTGAAATAAGAACTAGAACAACTCCATTTTCAGTCTGAAAATGAAAAAAAAAAAAAAAAAAAAAAAAAAAAGAACTAGAACAACAACAACAAAAAAGGAAACAGTGAGTATATGCAAATAAATGTATGCATGTAATATGGCGAAATCTGCAAAGCTACTATAGTCCTTATTTCTGTAATTGGCCTCAAGGTCTGAGTTCTTCAATTACCAACCACAAATTTCTCTCTCTCTCTCTCTAAAAACCTAAGCTTTACCTCTTATTTACCTGGTTGAGTGACTAACTTTCACTCCCCAAGGATGTGGGTCCTGAACCACCCTGCTTTATTTTGTTGCTGAAGATTTTCTGTTAAGTTTTACTATCAGGCATGTGCAGTATGCAGAATAATGGTCCCATCCTGTCCTTGGACATAGTGAATAAGGTGTGTTACAAAACTAATGGGAATTAAGATTGCTAAATTAAAATAGGGAGATTTTACCCAATTGTCTTGGTGAGTCCAGTCTAATCACAATGGTTCTTTTTTTTTTTTTTCTTAGACAGAGTCTCACTTTGTTGCCCAGGCTAGAGTGAGTGCTGTAGCGTCAGCCTAGCTCACAGCAACCTCAAGCTCCTGAGCTCAAGCAATCCTCCTGCCTCAGCCTCCCAAGTAGCTGGGACTACAGGAATGCACCACCATGCCTGGCTAATTTTATATATATAATTAGTTGGCCAATTAATTTCTTTCTACTTACAGTGGAGACGGGGCACTCTGGCTCAGGCTGGTTTCAAACTCCTGACCTCGAGCAATCCGCCTGCCTTGGCCTCCCAGAGTGCTAATCACAATGGTTCTTAAAAATGGAAGGCAGAGAAGACAAGCAGAGATGGCAGTGTGAGGACTCATTTCAATATTGCTGACTCTGAAAATGGAGGAACAAGGCCATAAGCTAAGAAATGTGGGCAGCCTCTAGAAAGTGGAAAAGGCAAGGAAACACATTGCGCCCTCACAGAATCCAGGATTGCAGCCTTACTGACGCATTGGTTTTATTTTTTCAATTTTACTTTATTTTTTAATTCAGCATATCATTGGGGTACAAATGTTAAGGTTACATATATTGCCCTTGCCCCCCCCTTCCCCCCCGAGTCAGAGCTTTAAGCTTGACCATCCCCCAGACAATGCGCATTGCACTCATTATGTATATACCCATCCCCTCCTCCCCACTCCCACCTGCCTGACGCCCAATAAATGTTATTCCTATGTGTCCACTTAGGTGTTGATCCGTTAATACCAATTTGCCGGTGAGTACATGTGGTGCTTGTTTTTCCATTCTTGGGATACTTCACTTAGTAGAATAGGTTCCAGCTCTATCCAGGAAAATACAACAGGTGCTATATTACCATTGTTTCTTAGAGCTGAATAGTACTCCATGGTATACATATACCACATTTTATTAATCCACTCATGTATTGATGGGCACTTCGGTTGTTTCCACAACTTTGCAATTGTGAATTGTGCTGCTATAAACATTTGAGTGCAGGTGTCTTTTTTATAGAGTGCCTTTTGTTCTTCTGGGTAGATGCCCAGTAGTGGGATTGCTGGATCAAATGGTAGATCTATTTGTATCGTGTTACGGTATCTCCGTATTGCTTTCCACAAAGGTCAAACAACCCTTTCAAACAGTTGGCAAAAGACATGAACAGAAATTTTTCAAAAGAAGACAGAATGGCTAACAAACATATGAAAAAAAAAATGCTCAACATCTCTAAACATCAGGGAAACGCAAATCAAAACTGCAATGAGATATCACTTATCTCCAGTAAGAATTGCCTTTATCAAAAAGTCCCCAAACAATAAATGCTGGCATGGATGTGGAGAGATAGGAACATTCCTACACTGCTGGTAGGACACATTGGTTTTATCCCAGTGTTATCGATTGTGGACTCTTGGCCTCCAGGAACTGTAAGGTAATAAAATTGCTTTGTTCTAAGCCTTTAAGTTTGTGGTAATTCCTTACAAAAGCAACAGAAAATGAGCACAATTTTTTTTATCTCTAAGGATTAGTTGGAAATAACCCATGAATTGGAGAACAAATTTATATCCCAAATAAATTATAGCCACTGAGTCACTGAATAATTTTTTCAATCTTTTATTTGAAATAACAATATAACATCTAGATGGTTTACAGCCACTGGTTGTACACTCAGAATTTCCTCACAGGACAATGATGGATTTAACTCAAGATCCTCCCTGTCATGGATACCTTTACCATCTTCCCCACCTTTCAATTTGCCCTGCATTTGGAAGTGTGACATACAGAAGAGCAGCATGTCCAGGATGTAAATACCATACCAAAACATTTTTAATCTTTTGAATTATTGGCATCTTCATACTTCATATTTCAAAACAAAATAACTTTCCTTTACTCTTACCAAAATTCCTCTTCTGATGTCTATGCAACTGGGTTCAGCATAAACTGTTCTAGAGAAGCCAAAAGCCTGAAATTTAGAAACCAAACTGTCACTCTCTTCTTCTAAATGCAACTCCAGCCTTATCATCCAGCTGCCCAAATACTATAGGAGCCGAACAATCTAATTGTTGTGTCTGTAACACCTTCCTCCATGACAGTGATTAATTCAATCTGGGACACTCCCTCCTATATACCTTAGCAATCTTCAAGTCTCATTAAGACTTCCTTCCAGACATACTGTCTTCTGAATAAAAAGAATACTCAAGCTTTAGAATCTGGCTTCTCCCTTACAGGGCATTATTTAACTTCTAAATTAGAATAAATTCCAATTCACCTCTTTAAAGGTCCCTAGGATTAAGAGTATCAACAAACTTTTGGATTAATACAGCTGTACTAAAACAATCCCCCATACACAAGGGGTGGGTACTCATGTGGTAAAGGTGGGACTGAAAATTCAATCCTCTTATATGAGGTGAGAAAGGCTCTTAGTACAAGACATTTGTTCATAACAAAAACACAAGGCACTACAGATTCATAATGAAGGCTATGTTACAGAGATGGTATATGCTTGGTATCAGAATTATTAAATCCCTGGATTGTACAGAGCTCCAACGAAATATGACCATCCCAGAATCCATGTGGCTTTCCCTAGAAGCAGACTTTCTCCATACAGATTTTTTGGTGTTGTATGAAATCAGTAACAGCTAAGACTTTCAAACACTACAAATTGACTTTAAAGCATGTATACTTTACTAGTTGAAGGAACAAGTCCACCATGTTGTAAAGTACAGAGATACAAAATAAATTCCGAATTAGTCTTGTAATCTTGAATGCAGAGGATTGTTCAAGGTTTCCCAGATAAAGTCCAGGTAAAGTTCCTTTGATGCCATGCAACTATCTCTCTGAGATGACCAAGATGGCAAGGTGGGCTCAGACTACCAAGGGCCATCATCAGCTTGCTAGCAGAAACATGGGCCAATCTCTTGAGAGAAAGTCAATTGCTCCATTCTCAAGTGTTAAAGCCTGAGGGTATACAGCCCCCTTGGCATTGAGGAAAAGAAGTAGTGCAGCAGCCAGTTTAGAGACTTGACCTGGTGGCATTAAGTCTCATTCATATATGTCTGAAAGGGCTCAAAAGTTATCTGCCTCATTTAATGTTTCTTGCCAGGATCCCAGCAACTATTTTTGTCCCACCAAATTGCTGAATATGATCATCAGAAAGTGACATTTTAAATGGATTTTTACATTTTTAGTTTTCTAAAATAAATGTTTATGCTTTTAATTATTATGGCTACCTGATAGTTGTTTTGCTTTTAATTAAGTTCACAAAGGCAAGGCATACATGAAAATAAGAAACACAAAACATGTAATCAAAGTCTTTTACAAAATAAGCAACTAAAAGGTACAATAGCAAAATGTAACAATACACTTTCTGTACTACAGTAGTGGTTCTCAAACTGTATTAAGCAGCAGAATTGCCATCAGATTCCTACTTCCTACCTCAAGTTTCTGAACCAGTAGATTTGCAGTGGAGCACAAGATTTCACATGTCTAAGGAGTTTGCCACGCTTCTAATGCTGTTAATTTGAGGAGCATACTTTTAAAACCACTGCGTTAAAACATGAAAGCCCAATTCCAGTCTTGTAGGAAAAATGGACACTCATCAGCCAGAGCTGTGGGATTGACGTGCATGTGTCACAGTTAAAATGGAGATTCCTCCATGTTTCTATTTGAACTTCAGTCCTGGGCTAATTGTCTCTGTATTTCTAGAATAGTTTAGAGTTTTCTTTCCAAAGTGATAATGAGGCAGTCAAGCAATTCTGTGCAATAAGTCTGTTCCTTATTACTCCTGAGGGGTCTTCCCTGCCTCGCCGCTATGAAGCTGGGAGCTCTCTGCCCTTTTCAACAGCTCTTCAAAGATCTCATTATGCATGTAAAAAAAGATGTATCCAGTACAAAGCCTCTCCTCCTGCATCAGGGCCTCTTGGATATTTGACACCTGCGTATCATTGTAAGTGAACCAGGCCTGCCTCTCAAAGTCATAGGCATCGCTGATATAATGGCCTGACTTTGGGGTTGTACCAATATGGCTGACAATACCAATGAGACGATAGGTAGGAAGATCTTCCTTATAAGCATTTCTTTTTGGTTCCTTGGCTTTGGACTCTGTCTTCTTATTGAAAATGTCTTTGTTTCCAGAGTTTTTTTCAGAACCCAATGCACCCTGGTTCTTCACATTATCCCCCTGGAGATTTAATTTCATGGGTCCTCTACCATTCTTTGTGTGTCCCTTGGCACCTGGCTTTGGAAAGCTTTGAGGCAGTGCCTGCTGAGAGGCTTCTTCACAGATTCTCATCCCATTACACTGGTGGGTCTGTTCAGCTACTTCTCGGAATCCTTTTGGAATTCTGATTTTTTCATTTTGATAAAAATTTTTGGTAGGCTTAGTGACCTTATCAAAAGCTACACACATTCTGGTTTTCTTGTATTTCTTTAGCTTTGGATTTTCAGGAACTTGTTGATGATGAACTTTTGCAACACATTTGTCTGTGCTGCTGGTGAATTTACCTCCATCTCTGTGGATTAGAGAAAGGGAGGTGTCCTCTAGATACATCATTGAGCCAACTAATAGCTCTTTTTCAATGAGTGCCTCATCTCCTGTGTTTAACAATTCTGACTGTGTTGTATTCAGTTTAGAATTTTTCCCCAGGTCTTTTTGCTGTTGTTCTCTGCTTGTTCCTTTAAAGACTCTCTGGTATTTTTGTGGTTCTGACTCCTTGTCTGATCTAATGTGTACTGCCAGGGAATTCTTGGATTCCAAGGTCAACTTAATTGAATGTCTTAATGAGCTGATGGTTCCAGAATTCAGGTTTTGAAAAAATTTTAATACTTGGAAATCCCTAATACGTGCTTTCTCGCTTGGGGGAAGAGGTGGTTTAGTGCTTTCGTTGCAATGAGAAGACAAGTTTAAATATTTGGATATAATGACTTCCTGGTCATCCTTTCTTAAGGACCAGAACTCATTAAACCTATAACGTTTCAGATGAACAATAAGGACTCTGGGTAGCCTACTGAATTTGTGAACTGCAAGAGAAGTCTTGTGCTTACACTTCTCACAATTATACTCAAGCTCTTCTGCCTGAAAGAAAAGATCAAAAGTAGACTGAATAGACAAAGGAAGTGCTTTTGGTCCTTGGGGAAGGTTGACAGAGAGGTAATTGCTCAGTTCTGTCTTGAGAACAACCTGACCACAAGCTTTACAAACAATAGAGCGCATCAACTCAAACTCAAAATTACTGATGACAGGACAAACAAGCACTTCAGTGGCAGCATCACCAGCACAAACCTGTTGAGGTGAATTTTCTTCCTCAGATTCACTTTTAGTCTTCAAAATTCTGTTTATTTTTCCTGAGTTCTCTTTCAGCTGATCTAAACAATGACCTAAAAACTCATGAGCATCATTCTGTACGTTCCCAGAGAATATCTCTGCAACTGCTGAGATGGCTTTTTTAATATTCACAAGTAACTTCTCCTTGATTTTTATATTATAAATATCTTTCAAAATAAACAGCTGGGCCAAGCACATGCTAAGAGCACCAAGGGGCATTTTACCCCATGGGAAATCCTGATTAAGTAAATCGTCAACAAATGATGGAATTGCAAATAGACACTGTAAGGTTGCATTCATGTAACAGGTGTTTCCCAAATTAGGGAGTCCTTGCCATAGTTTATTATCTGGGTGTAAGTCAAGTGACATCCTTAATTCTTCCCACTCTAGGCCATACTCATTATAATCTGGTTCCAAAAGAAATGCCAAAAATACTTTCTCAGCAAGAGTTTGGAGACCAGTGGAATCTAGGTAAGGGTTTCCAGTAGAGTTGGTCATAAATAAAGATTCAAATTCCAATTTCTTCTTCTCTTTTAATTCCTTTAACTCAAATTGTTTCTCTGGATTGTGGCTTACATACTTCAAGGGATTCATCTTGGATTTCTTCTTTCCTAGGGAGCTTTCTTTCAGGAACTTCTCATTCATCTCTGAACTAGACAAAATCATTCCTTTCCTCTTCCTATGTAGATTCTCTAATAATCTTTTGCAAATAGGCATTGATGATTTTGATGTAAACAAAGGTATCTCCTGAAGGGCAGGTGTTTCACTACCTTTTCCTGTCTCATAAGATCCACCTCTTGATTTGTTATTAACTTTTTGAAATGAAGTTTGGTGGATTTCCTCCTGTGTTATTGTGCTGGCAAAGACACCCTTATGCTTATGAGGTCTCCCGCATGGTTGACTCTTGTTTCCATGGACTTTGTCCAGGAGTCTCTTCAACTGTTCAGCATCTTTAGAGGATAATCTTTCAATAAACAAGAAGTTATTATTTTGGAAAGTTAAATGCAAGTGGTTTTGTTTTTCTCCATAGGATCTAAGGACCACATTTTTAATATTATTACTTAGCTGAAAAGTTTTAAGTTCTCCAGTGTTGAAATAAAGAACCAGTTGAACTTTCTTCTTTCCTTTCACTGTTTCAATGAATGCTTCTTTTGACTTAGACATCCCAGTCTTCATGCTCCATATTTGGACATAACCATGTACAAATAAGGTAGACATGCTTTTTTTAACAAATAAAAAACAAGTATCCTGGATTATTGACAATTTTGAAGTTCCAAATTGTTTTGCAATTTCACCTGCAGAGACAACACCAAAGAAATGTTTCTTTAGTTCTATATACAGAATAATCCTTTTTCAAGTATTGATTTATACTAGTATGCTAGTATTCTAGTATTTACATTAATATTCTACAATCTTTTCAGGTTCTCAACATCCAGGCTCTTTAAATGAGAAGACTTATAAACTAAAAATAAAATCCTAAGCCCCACGCCAACTGTATGATGCCCTGTTGGCCAAGGGGACCCCAGGAAAAGCTTAAAACTGAGTTCCTGGTCATAAAGGGAAGGGAGATCACACATGCCTCGTTATACCTGCTCTCCCTTTTAGTGTCCAAACACAATTTACCAGCATTAATGTTGAAACAGATCATAGGACAGATAAAACTGACTCTTTGTGACAATAAGACACTAAATTATTAAGAAAACCTAAGAACATGCAGGGCAAAGTTTAAATCACCTGCAGGCCAGCAATTTGCTTAACACATAGCTTGAAGTTGGTATACTGTGAATGGTCTCTGACTAACAGATTTCCTTATCTTAACTGAAACCATGACAAGCCTTTAGACAACAAAGCTTTCTTTAACCAATTACAAATCAAAGAATCTTTAAACTCACCTATAACCTGTAAGCCCCGCTTCAGGATGCCCCGCCTTTTGCGGCCAAACCAATGTACTCCTTCCATGTATTGATTTGTGATTTTACCCTCAATTCCTGTTTCCCTAAAATGAATGTATAAAATCAAACTGTAACCCGACCTTGAGACCTCTTGCTCATGACTTCTTGGGTGTGGCTCTGTGGGCCATGGTCACACACATTGGCTCAGAATAAACCTCTTTAAATTGTTTTACAGAGTTTGGTGGGTTTTTTATTTTTTCTATTAACAGATCAATGCCTTTTGCGAGCCTCCCATGGTTGCATGAAGGCAGAAATCTTGATTGGCAAGGCACGGTCACTATAGGAAAAATCAAGAAAGTTATGTAACTGCATGTTCTCATTTGTAAGTGGGAGCTAAAAAAAGGGTATATATGGTCATACATAGTGTCTTAATTGACAATGGAGACTCAGAAAGGGGAAGAAAGATGGGGGAGAAGGATGAAATACTGGATACAATGTATACTATTCAGGTGATGCATAAAGAAAGATTCCAGTATGCAACTCATCCATGTGACAATAATCCACTTATACTCCCTAAATCCACTTAAATAAAAAATGAAAAAAGAAAGTATATGTGCTAACATTAAAAAATTACTTAAAACAATAATAAAAATGCTTGGATAAAACTCAAAATGTACACCCATACAGTAAATCCACCCCAATATCAGATTCCATTCTGATTAATTTCCCCACTTCAATTGAAATTATGAGACATTTAGAAGATTTTCAATAAATAACTGAAAAGCATACTCAATAGGGTCTTAAGTGTATGTATACAATGTGCTAATCTTCCTGTCACAGAATAACCCCTACAGGGCAACCACAATAAGTAAGAAAGTGGAGGCAATGTGCAGCCTTCAACCCAGGAACTGATGAATATTCCTTGATGTCTAGAGAACTTCATACATAGACCACTCAAAGTAAATCAATCTAACTTCTTGAAAATCTAGTTATGCCCCTATATTTCACTTGGCACTTAGGGAACATCAATTTATTCTACCTCTTATTAACAAAAGTTCACGTATAGAATGAGAACTTCTTACCCATCAGATATAGGCTAGTGAAGCTCCTATGGCCAACTCTGGCCACAAAGCCCACTTAATCTGAGCTAGCTACCCATATTCAAACCAGTGGGGAATGATCAGATGTACTTAATCACTGAAAATTAGAAATTTCTGAATAACTCTGGGGCAAATCTGAATTAATTAGTAAGTTATCAGCACTACAAATGTTTGTATCAGAAAGTGTATGTCCAAGAATTGACTGGAAATTGTTTTCTCCTAAATAAATATTTTTCCTGAATATTGTCTATGATATTTAAACCCTGTCTTTATGGGTAATACTAAAGAAAACTTCTGCTCAGTCCCTGTTCAAATTATCAAAACCTCAAAACTGGTGCAGAATAAATTTAAATAGATTTTTGTTTTATAAAGTATTTCATCTATCAACCTATGTTCAGTGAGGTAGGAATTGTACCCATCCACATACAAAAGTGCCTATATATCCCAGTAACAAAGACTGTATTTATCATGGTAGAAATAGGGCCATAAAAACATTTGAAGCACAGCAGCAAATTCAAGTTTTCTGGATTTATAGCTCACTGTCCTACTGTAGATGCTAAGTAAGGATTTAAACAATTTCCTCTCCATAAAAAGACAAAGTCTTAATTGTTCCTTATTTCAATAACTTCTGAGAACCTGCAACACCAAAACAACTTTGAGTCTGCATTCCAAAATTTTTCTAATTCCAGCTCATCTATATTTATTAAAACTTGTTGTTTCTTCTTTCTAATGATAGCTGACATAATCTACGACCCTCCCAGCATTACCTCTCTCTGCCCTCAAAAATGTAGTTAAGACACATATGTTCACAAAATCTCTCCATTCATCATTCCTTCCCTCACAGTCCAACCTGCTTACATTTTCATTTCAGAATAAAGGAAACTTATTTTGAGCCCACTGGACATGGAAAATGAAGATTAAGAACCATCTTGCTAATGTACAGCTGAGTGGTCTAACCACTGCCACCTCTTCTAGCACATCTAAAGTTTAAACCCCCTTCTTCATTCTGCTGCATTATTCAAGACATCTGAAGCCTCCTCTGATTGTTTTCAGAAAATTTTAAGTTAACATGTATTGGTTCTTCAAGACTCCACTGAACAGCCTATTCAGTGACTATTCTATGCAGCCTAAAATAAACTTAAGCAGTAGTGGCATTCCTCCTCTCTTGTCACCTTCACATCAGATTCAAAACATGGATAACAGCCACATTCAAAAGTTATTCAAGCCAACATGCTTTCCTCTCAATTTCACCTACATACCCAATCCATTAAATTTAAATGATCAATTACTAGTGCAATACTCTGGGCTAGCTGCTGATCTCAAAGCATAGCTAGACACTCACAAAACAGCACCACGACTATCATATTTACAGGCATGACCTGTGGTGCCAAGAAGTTGGTTGTAGAGTTAAAAAAAAAAAACCTAGTAGAAGTGTCTGCTTTATTGTTAATTTACTAATTCACTGTACATTGATTTTCTCGGTAACTGAGATATTTGCGAAGCATGTACTCTATGCTGCATTTTATGATTTGCTGAGGGTCTATTGAACGTTGAGTATTGCAGCCACTGCTCTCAGGGACACAGAGGATGTGAGCATTCACTGTACCTAAATGATTTAAACTCTAAACATCACTGTGTAAATATCACAGTAGAAGAGGGGTTTAATTCTAGTGGGGACAAAGAATCTTGGAAAATATCCTTTCAATACCATTTTCTGGGGCTTCACATACTCTGGGTGGAAGCAATGTTTGTAAGAGAGGATCTCCTGGAGTATCAAGTCTTACAACCTATCTCAACTCCCCAAATTGTATGGCTTAGCCTCGTCCTTTGCAGATCAAGTGAGAAAACTGACCCTTAGAATGTCTGCAAGCCAAGAACATAGAAGCCTAGGTCATTGATTCCATATTAAGATACAGTAGAGTCCCCATCTTTATGTGCAGTTTCATTTTCCACAGTTTTAGATACCCATGGTCACAACCACACCACAGTCAAAAAATATACATGGAAAATTCCAGAAATAAGCAATTCAAAAGCTTGAAGTAAATTCTAAATAGTGTGAAGAAATCTCATGCTGTCCCACCCCATCCCACCTGGGACAAGAATCATCCCTTTGTCAGGCTGTCTAAACTACCTGCCCAATGGTCACTCAGTAGCTGAGTAGCTGCCTCAGTTATCAGATCTACTGTCTCACAGTACTTGTGTTCAAGTAACCCTTCTTTTCCTTAATAATAGCCCAAAGAGCAAGAATAGCGATTCTGGGAATTTGGATATGCCAAAGATAAGCCATAAAGTGCTTCCTTTAAGTAAAAAGGTGAAAGTTTTCAATTTAGGAAAAGAAAAAGGAAAGAAAAAAAATTCTATGCTGAGGTTGCTAAGTTCTACAGTAAGAATTAATCTTCTTCCCACGAAATTGTGAAGAAAAAAGAAATATGTGCTAGTTTTCCTGACACACTTCAAAATGTAAAAGTTATGGCCACAGTGCATGATAAGTACTAGTTAGAATGGAAAAGGAATTATATTTCTGGGTGGAAGACATGAACAGAGAAACATGTCCCAATTGACAGCAATGGGGTTCAGCACTATCTGAGATATCAGGCATTCACTGAAGATCTTGGAATATATTTCCCATAGATAAGGAGGGGACTACTATAATTTAATGAAGACTTTTGCTGCTTTTGGAGTACCTACCCTCTGTATCCTGCATTTATATCTCCCACCACTCAGGCTTTCATTATTTCAAGAGGAAGAAAAACTTTAATGATTACACACCTTTCAAATTTGAATATGCATTTCTCAATCCCAAACTGTTCATTATAAAAGAATAATATTAAAAAGACAATTATTTTCTTTCAAGCATTTGTTTAAGCAGATAATGCTTTAAGAAGACAACCATTTGTTTTGGAAAGTTTAGAGAGAACTATAGCCTGGAGGCAGATTGATAAAGTCTAGATGGCCCTGTAGGCTAAATGACTATGAAAAAATAAAATTTCTAGGTCAGTTCTCTTCTGCTGACATTAGGAAAACTATGATCAGCTATAATAAAATCAAGTATGTGTTTATCTCATTGAATAGGTGAGCGTAAAGGTATATGGTGATGTGGTACAAGTAGTAAGTTTAAATTATTTTATTCAACTTCCTGAAAACATGTGAAGTAAGAAAATAACAACATACCTAGAAATCTTGCTCAGTTACCTAAGTACGCCTCATTGAATAGAAATGATGAAAGACCCAAAAGATGGCATGCCAGCCCACATATGCAGTAAATGGAAAAGACATGGCCAGATAATTACCACATGAGTTTCCAATCATTTCTGGGTATTTCCAATTATCCCGAACAAGAGCTTTAAAAAGAAAAACAACTTTAACTCACATTTATTTTAAATTACACATAGGTTAGTGACCTCAGACAAGCCAATTCCACTATGAGGGCCCATTAAATGACATGGAAAATGATCATCTAAATCTAAAGCTCTCTTTCAGGACTCCATGCTATGAGACCATGACTCTAACTATGATATACTTAAGCATACTGGATTTCCTAAGACAGTCCAGATAAAAAATATTTTCTCCAACAGTCAGATGATGTGCACTAAATCTGGGCTTGGAAACTATGGGCACCACGCAAAACCTATGAGAGGATTGGTAGGTGACTATGCTGGGCTTGGCAAATGGGAAGAGGAGATTCTCAAAAGCCAATGGGCACTCATTTACCCATTCATTCATTAAACAACTATGTATGGAGTACTAGAAAGCATTATATTAAGCTCTAAGTATTGAAGAATGAAAAGAAATACAAAATCCATGCTCTCATAAAACTTTCATTCTAGCAGGGGATTAGAAAATATAGTATACACACATAATATATATAGAATACTAGATGGTGGTAACAGCTAAAGAAAACAAACTTAGAGGAACAGGGTGTGCCAGCGGTGATGGGGCTGTGCTTGCTGCCTTATACAGGGGGACCCGGGAAGGCCTGACTGATAGTGATGACAATATGCAGC